CTAACCAGGTGGCCTAAGGTGAGTCACGAAGCATCTCTGGGCCTCAACTTCCTCATCTGTAACAGCTGGTAAGGTTGAAAATACACATGTATACATAGATACACACATAGACACAAACATACACCAGAGACACATAGAGGTAGACATACAGAAAGATACAGATGGTGTAGATAGATGCAGATGTGGGTGTAGGTGCAGATATAGATATACACAAAAACACATAACTGTATATAGACATAAATACACACATAGGTATAGATATGCATAACCAGAAATGTCCCCGCTAGGGGCGCTTGGGCGGTCAGTCAGTTAAGTGTCCAACTTTGGCTCAGGTCATGATCTCACAGCTCATGGGTTCAAAGCCCCACGTCGGGCTCTGTGCTGACAGCTCAGAGCCTGGAACCTGCAAAGGATTCTGTCTTCCTCTCTCTCTGCACCTCCTCCGGTTGTGCTCTCTCTGTATCTCTCTCTAAAATAAATAAGCATTAAAATTTAAAAAAAAAAGAGATGTCCCCTCTATGCCTTAGTCTCCCACCTTATAGTAAGTACCCCAAGGTTTGACATGAGTGTAACATGAGGTACTATATACAAAGTTACTCAGCTCAGTGCCTGGCACAAAATAATGCTCATACTGCTAACTGTGATTATTTCCTGGGGTCAATGCACTGCCACCGAAGGCCATCAGGAAGGCACACGACACACCTCATGTCTCACCGCAATAAGGTTGCTCACACACCGTGGGGAGCCACAGAGAGTCTCAGGGAGAGAGTGTTAGAAAGAACTTATTCTAGATTTGGGCTTGTATCTGGTGATTTTGGGGGGACATTTGGGGCTTTGCTCTGGATCAATGCTGTCGGGAAGTGTGGATAATCCTGTGATGGCGTATCTAACAACAGAGTGAGGTGGAAGATGTCAGGGGTAAGCAGGCACGGTTGCTCACGGAGCTCAGGGTGGGGCGATTGGTCATTTTGTGGTTCAGACATCTTGACTGTGCTCAGATATGGCCCCAGGGTGTCCGTGTTGGACTTGATGTGTCATGAAATGTTTTATGATCTGCAGGAGAAAGAAGGCTCTCTTCTTCTCACCCGTTAGACGGACTTTCCGATTTAATTTCCTGCTGGAGTAACTCTGGTACTTCATACAGTGACGAGCCTTGTTTCCCTTGTTCATCCACCTGCACATTTTCCCTCCCCACCAGTCAGGCCCTGCCTCATGGGTTCAGCTCTGTGTTTTGCCAGCAGTTTTCCAAGGAGGAGGCTCTCCAGGCTTCCTCAGTAGGAAACAGATTGTGCCTGCCTTCCTTCCTCTAAAGCCAGAAGATTCCACAGGAGAACAAGAGGGCAGGACCCATGCAGAGCCCTTCCCCAGCCAGGTCCACCCCGTTGTGGGGGGTGTGGAGGAAAGCTCTGTGCTCATCTGGCCTGCAGTCTACAGGCCACCATTCAGTCTTGACTCAACAACTGCCCTGGGGTGAACAGTGACCCCCAAATTCACATCTACTCAGTACCTCTAAGTGTGACCCTATCTGTGAAGGAGGTCTTTACAGATGCAATTAAGTTAAGATGGGGTTGTACTGCATGGGGTGGGCCCTAGGCCCCATGACTGGTGTCCATATAAAGAGGGGACCACATGGAGATACAGAGAAGGCGACCATGTGACAACAGAGGCAGAGGTTGGGGTGATGGTTCTACAGTCCACAGAACACCGAGAATTGCTGGGAGCCCCCAAGCTGGGAGAGAGGTCTGGAACAGATGCCCCCTCAGAGCCCTCACGGGAAACCAACTCTGCCCACACCTCGATTTGGGACTTCTGGTCTCCAGAATCATGAGACAAGAGATTTCTGTTTTGAAGCCCCCTCGTTTGTGGCAATTGGGTAGGGCATTGGTTCAGTGACCTTCAGTAGTGGGTAGGGCCGCCCCAGGATGTTAGCTCATGACTTTGAGTAGCTTTTCAGCCAGCTGCTCATCTGGTCCTGACCTCTCAGAGGGAGGACCTCTTCAGGTGTGGCCACAGCCCAGGCAAGGGTGGTGCCAAGGGACCCAGGCCCTCTGCTGTGTCACAGCTGCTGCCCAGGCGTCTGTCTCCAGCCGAGCTGGGTCCCTGGCTCCTGCTGCTCAGCCCATCAAACAGCCACAGTGTAATGACTATCATTATGTGATTGTGGTGTCACTGGGGCCGGTGATTTGTCATTGTTAACATTTGCGGAGTGTCCAGTCCATCTGTAGAAAATGATGATAATAAAAAATAGGAGAGCTCCCCTCTGACTGTCATGGGCCTGCTCAGAGTGATGATTCCAGGAGGAAAGACATACATAGGTGGGGATAGGGATAGGGATTTGATTATGAAAAGATGACAGTGGTCTGAGCCCCATATTCTGAGCCTCTTCAAATAAGTCCCCCCAAAACACTTGAAAATATTGACCAATGTTGGTGAACATGTTTCACTAGGAACACCAGAGAAGGTGAAGTCACAGATCCATACTCGTTACACTCAGACATCGCCGGGCCAGGCACCACGGCGGGGGCTGTGACGTGAAGACACCTTCTTCGTGTCTGCCCTCAGAGACAAGATGGTAGAACCAGGACCTGCCTTTCCCTTATTTTCACTCAGGTGTTTTCTGCCAGAGGCACATGGAGGAGGCCACGAGGCTCCCTGGAACGAAGGGGGTCACCTGGTGCCCCAGAGGATGAGGAGAAGGAAACTGAACCACATCTCACTTCCCTGACACCACCACGGACTTGCTCATCTAAACGGGAGGGTCAACATGGCCATCCCCAAACCAGAAGTTTCATTAACCACCGTCAGATAACAGGCCCCTTTTGGCTGTCGGGTCCATGACATCCATCTGGGAAGATGTTGGGGTGCACAGGAGTCTGGATGCAGCTTTTAGGTGTGACAGACACCAGGCAACTCGGTCACAGGTGAGGCGGCCCCTTCAGCACCCCACCTCAGGTTCAGGCAAGCATGGCTCAGCTTCCCTGGGTTGTTAGAGCCCCCCCCCCCAGGGATGCTGTCCATGGTGCTGGAAGACGGGGCTGTAAACCTTCTCAAGATCCACAGTCGAACCCACGCAGACTTGATTCTCTGCCTGAAGTTAGCAGATTGAGAGACAGCAGGGAACTCACCTGGTGGGAACAGGCATGCTGGGGTCTCAAGAATGAAACTTCCATAACTGAGCCTTCACCAGGAGCCCTAACAGAAAGGCCCAGTTCAAGAAGAGAAAACATTCTTCTGAGTGTGTTTGGTCAGGATTCAGTTTCTGGAATGGACAGGCTGCCTGAGGGGAGGGCTCTGGGGTTGACCCACTGTGTTTTGTCACCAAGGCCTCCAACGTACCTGCCATTTCTTCCTCAGAGAGTCCATTCACACAGTACTGATGACAGGACGGACCATGCTCTACTCTACAGGATTTCCCATCAGCCCTTTGAACTACCCAGCGCTGGAGAGCAAAGGAAAACGCGGCCCTGGACAGGACACACATGTGAATGGCTGCCCACCCTGCATGAATGCAGACCACCCTGCTCCTGTGGGCACAGATGTCCCCAGCGTCAAGAGCAACTTGGTCCCCACCAGCTTCCTTGGCACCATGGACAGTCGTCCAAACAAATGACCCCAAATTTCTTTGGGGAAGACTGTCTATGGCCACCTGAAGCTCTACCACAGTGCCTTTCCTCAGGGGCCCGGGCCTCTCCTGCAGCCCATGAATGAGCTTGGGTTTAGAAATGCAGCAGGGGTCATGTGCAATTAGGGCAGCTGGCCTCAAATCCTTGACCATGCTTGAGTAAACATTTTAAGCATTCTCTGCTGGCTGCCCATCATCGTGTGCTGGGGGACCACATTCCGTTGGTCACTGATCTAGATTTCAGCTGATCAGGCCTCTGCCACCATTCTGAGCTTGCTGCCCACTAGATAACTTGCTTCTGACAGATGCGTGCTGCCCTATGACTGCAGTTCTGGGGCCCATCAACCCCCTGCACCATGTCCCAGCACTGCCTCCTCTGAGCCCTGCCCCAGCCCTGCACCAACCTCCCCTCCATCATCTCCCTGAGCCCTGCCCCAGCCCTGCACTACTAGCCCCGTCATCCGTGCCATGTACCTACTCCTCTATGACTTCTGCATGGTCTCCAGGCAGGGAAGGAGGCTTCATCTCCCAAGGAGGGACATGCCCCTGCCACAAGCCAGGCGGGTTCAGGGAGCCTTCCAGGAGCTCATCTGCATCTCCTGAGACCTCACACCCACATCCTGGGGTCAATCTGCTTCTTCATTAGGTCCCTAACTCTGGCAGAGGAGGCTCTCAAGGCAGGAATGTAGTCCCTGTAGAAGTTCTCCCCCGGAGGTTGGGTCCCAAGCCTGGGGGAACCAGAAGCAAGGCCTAAGGTGGGGCTCAGGCTCTGCGACTGAGGGCCAGCTCTCAGGGAGGGGAGCAAGGAGAGCAGAGAGGAAGAGGAGGGAAGTGAAAAGTTCCCTGGACTGAATCAGCCTCAGTGTGACCCCCACCCCCCCCATGAGCACTGAAGCAGGGGTTGCACCTGCGTCAATTTTGCCTTCAGATGAGGGCCAGCTGTGTACCACCCCCATGCCTGCCTTGGTCGAAGTCTGCCCCCCCCCCAGAATGGGGCATAAACTCTGGGGCAGGGGGTGTGACCTGCCACAGGGCAAGAAGGCTCCATCCACCGAGAACAATTCTCCGGAGAGGGGAACAGCTCGGGGATGAGGTACCTGCCTGATGTGGCTCGAACATCTACAGAAACAGGCTTTTTCCTACCAGCATCTTACAGGGTTCCCAAGGAGCCGTGATTCCACACCAATCACAGGGCCTGCCCAGCCTTGTCACAGGACAGCATCCAGCTCTCCATGGCTGCTCTCCCGGGCCAGGAGCACTGCACGACAATTATCACGGTGCCTGGTGCTGAACCGTGTCACTTCCTGTGAAAGGCCATCAAAGACAGACCCCCAGAGACCGGCCAGGTGCCACTTGGTGAATAAGAGAAGGTAACAAACAGGATTGATATGTTTAATCTAACACTGGGACTTTTCACAGTGGGCGGGATGCTGTTCCATTTATCAGGATGAGACAGCTCCCCGGCAGAGGGCTGTCCAAATCTTGCCTCTCTTCTACTGGAGGGTGATGTTATTAAACACAGGTCTCTGTGCTGGAGAGCTCTCGGAAAGAAAAATGCCGTTGTCAGAGGCCTTAGATTACAGCCAGTCTACCCTGCTGACCCTCCAGTCGTGTGCCCCCACACTGCCCCCCTCCCCGGCCCCCTTCCTATTTTCAGTTTTACAGTGTTTTGAGAAGCAAAGTCATTCTTTGACCTGCATCCCAGCCCTGCCCTGATTGGCCTGATGGTCAGAGCCCCCCATGCAGGAACCCTCTGCTCTCACATGCCACCATCCAGATAAACGTGTGGGAGGAGCTCTTAAAGTCACAGACCCTCACAGATCTGAGGGCAGGATCCTGGGAACCAGCACCAATGTCAGGACTCAGGGGCCATTTCAGGGAAGAAAACCCATGTCAGCGGACTTAACAGTTACATGGCAGCAAGAGCAGCTGAATGTGTCCGTGTCGTCCTCTGGGTGTATCTCCCGGCCGAGGTCATGTGTCAGGATCTCTGCGGTCAGGGCCCAGGAGTCTGCATCTTCTACAACCCCTCAAAGTGGCCCTGGTGTCACCCAGAGTCTGAAAGCCACTGGCCGACCAGTGAGGAGGGGGGAAGGGAGGAGGAAGGGTCACCAGCACTGCCCCACCTCCTGGCTCTCCCTCAGCCCAGGTGCTGGGTCCTGACTTGACTCCCGGGTCCTCTGGAACATCCCTGTGCCCTTTCCAGCTGGGGGTGGGTGCCAGGGCCCCTGAACCCCATCACACACCCAGAGGCCCCCACAGAAAGTGGGTGGTTCTCTGGGGCTGTCCTGACGAAGCACCAGAGTGAGAGGACCTAACAGAAATGTATGTACTGGAGGCTGGAGGTCTGAGATCCAGGCGTGGGCAGGGCCGCCTGCTTCTGAGGCCTCTCTACCCGGCGGGCAGATGGCCCTCCTCACCCTGCGTCCTCACCCCGTTGTCCCTCTGTGTCCTGATCTCTTCCTGTGAAGACACCGGGCAGGTTGGATGAAGGCTGACTCATGTTACCTGGTCACCTCTCCAAACACAGTCACGTTCTCAGGTCCCTGGAGCTGGGACTCCAACATGTAATTGCAGGATTGGGGGACACAGTTCACCCCTTGATAAGGAGCCAAGGAGAACCAGAAGGGAAGGGCAGGCTACTTCTCAGCCTGAATAGCATGACAGTTTATGCCCTAAGTCGGAGCCACACAAGACACTACATCATAGGGGGGTGATTAGTCTCATGGATGCCACACGGAGCTGACAGTCACATAGAACAGAATCAGGAAGGCGGGGTCTGCAGGGGGGAGGGGCTACGGGAGACAAGGAACTGTCCTGCTTGCTCTCTGCTCTCCACGGCTCTCTCTTTAGTCTCAGAAGGGTGTCCCCGAGCCCCGTGGCCCCTCCTGACGAGCAGGCAGCTGTGGGTGTCCTGCGGCCCTGACAGCTAGAACCAGCTCATCTGGCCCCTAGAACTCATCCCAATGCCCCCAGCCTGTGCCCTGCATTTCCCACTTCCCTCAGGGACCCTCAGGCTTCCCTGGGGATGGGGTCCTCCAGAGGAATACCAGATGGCCTGTAAACCCCCTGCTCCCTCACCCCAGCCCTGGGGGAGAGCGGGTGCTCAGACAGCCATGGTCCCCAACGCTCACATACTTGGAGCTAATCCATTATAAAGCTCTGGCCCTGGGAGCTCTCTTCTCTTCGTCTGTCCTGCCCCTTGCACACAGGAAAGCATCTGCTCTGCTGTCCCCAATTTTCTCCAGATGGGTCACTCCTAGTTGTAAGCTTGGGAGGAGGGAACTGCAGACCCTGTGACCCTAAAACCCTAAAAGCCGTGCATTCCCATTGAGCTCTCCAAATGAGAGCTGATGTTTTATCTCCTTCTGCAGTTGCCTCTGGAGTGGGTCTCTTGTATTTTTTAAAATTATTTTTAAATGTTTGGTTATTTCTTTTTTTAAAATAGTTCATTGTCAAGTTGGTTTCCATATAACACCCAGTGCTCATCCCCACAAGTGCCCTCCTCCATGCCCATCACCAGAGCATGAGTGGGGGAGGGCAGAGACAGAGAGAGACAGAATCTGAAGCAGGCTCCGACTCCAGCTGTCAGCACAGAGTCAGACACAGGGCTCAAACTCACAGACCGCCTGAGCTGAAGTTGGACGCTTAACTGACTGAGTCACCCAAGCTCCCCTCTTGTATCTAGCAAGAAGTGGGGGTGTTTTCTATCCCATTGATCCCAAAGTCACCTGCTCAGTAAAGGCACCGACCATTTTCTGGATACATATCCTGCATGCCACTCCTTTCCACTGCCCATTCAGCTGTGTGTCAGGGGTGTCTAGGTGGTCCTGAGACCCCAAAGTTGGCCAATGGGACTCCAGTCAGAGCCCGGAAGTGTATTCACCACCCCAAGGAGAAGCGGCCAGTGCTGGGGAGGGACCTCCCGGGTCTTTCCAGGTCCCCTACCCGAGCCTCAGTTAGAAGTCAAGCAGGAAAGACACCACCTACGTCACAGGCTATGAAGAGCTCTTGCAAAGTGTGTGCACCATGCTGAGCATATCACAGGACGATTCTGTTCAGCTCTCACGACGACCCCCTGGGGTGGGTGCTGCTCTCTGCTCTGTTGTAAAGACAGGACCTGAAACAAAGAAGAGGTGGTTAGGCTTTCTCTTGCCTCCAGATCCACAGCTAGTAAGTGCTGGACCCCAGGCAGGACGGGTGGCCAGTGCTGGTGGTCAGCCCCGTGCCTGACATATAGGGCTCAGTGATGACCGCCCAGGACACAGGTGCAGCCCACTCACCTCTGTCTCCTGCTCTGTGACCTCACACTACCACCTCCACTCTGTGGGGGCCCAGTGACAGCATCAGGGCCATAGGAGCCCGGCAGACATGCCCCCCAAGCCAGCAGACCCAGCAGGAAGCTGACCCCCTCTTTCTCCCTGAGGCTGCTCGTCAAAGACAGTCCCCTGATACCTTCCTTCCTGCTCTGCTGGCTCCTCACTGCACCACAAAAACCCTTGAAATAGTCATCTGCACCTGCTGCCTCCACTCCCCTCCCCAGGTCCCCAGGTATTCCCCATGTTCTCACTGAATATGCCTATATCTAACCACCCCCCCTTCTTGAACATGACCAGTGACCCACTGTGTTAGTTCCTGGGGCTGCAGTGACAAACCACCATAAATCAGATTGCTTGAAATAATAGAAATGTGTCCTCTCACAATCCAGGAGGCCAGAAGTCTGGGACTCAGGTGTGGGCAGGGTTGGGTCCTTCTGAGGGCTCAAGGGAGAGTCTGTCCCAGGTCTCTCTCAGCTCCTGCTGGCTTCTGGGGGACCTCGGTGTTCCTTGGCTTGCAAACGCATCAGGCAGAGGTCACGTGACATTCTCCTCTTTGTCCTCCTCTGTCTTTTATAAGGACACCCTCACTGGATTTAGGAAAACCACCCTAATTCAGTATGACCTCAACTCAGTCTGTGCCTTCATCACATCTGCAAAGACCCTACTTTCAGATAAGGCCTGAGTTTGCAGGTGGACACAAGTCTGGGGGAGTGCTCTGTTCAACCCACTACACCCACTGTATTAGGGCTCCCCAGAGCAATGAAGTAGAGAGAGACAGGATACATATGTATGCAAAGAGAGAGGGCGGATGAGATTTATTACAGGGATTGGCTGGTGCAGCCAGTAAGGCTGGGAAGTCCCAGCATCTGCAGTCTGCAAGCTGTAGACCCAGGATGGCTGGTGGTGTAGAGCAGTCTGGGTCCAGAGGCCTGAGAACAGGGGAGCTGGTGGTATAGGTTCCAGTCTTCATCTTAAGCCTGAGAACCAAGAGCTTCAAGGGCAGGAGAAGATAATGTTCCAGCTCTAGCTGTCAGGAAGAAGTGACTACCCTTCCCCCACCTGCTTGTGCCATTCGGACCCACAGTGGCCTGGGAGATGCCCACCCACATTAGGGAGGATCCACCTGCTGTATTGGGTCCACCGACTCACATACTGATCTCCTCTGGAAACTCCTTACAGACACATGCGGAGTCATGTGCAGCCACATCGTGGCACTCCATGCCCAGTCAAGTTGACGTACAAAATTACCTATCATATGCACTAATGGCGAGGGCCCTGGGCTCCCAGGCCTTGGTGACTCCCCCTTCCCGTCCCCCTCTCTGTGGCTCCTGTGTGAGTTCTCCCCCTGCCCCCTGGATTTCCCATTGGTTCTCCTTCACCATCGCTGCCTCTTCTTCTGTCTGCCCCCCAAGCTCTGTCCTCCACCCACTTCTCATGACAGACACCATCTCCCTGGACAGCCTCACCCCTTTTGTGCCTCCCCTGAGTCTCTTGTCAGCCCTGACTGCTGTGTGAGGGCCCTCCCAGACAGGGCCTTCACCCATCCCACTGCCCATCATGCCCCTGGCACCCCAATCTGAGCACCCCGTCTTTACCCACCTGCCCTGCCCAAGCACCTCACATGGGTTCCAGAAGCCTGGTGAAAGGAAATTGAGTCAATGTGGCTTCATCCACTTCAGATCCTGGAGAACCTCTTCATGCAAGGGTGGAAGCACAGGGAATGTCCGCAGAGTGAAGGACGGAAGACAGAAGGAGAGAAGTCAGGCATGTTGTGTGGCTCGAGACAACCTTAGCTCTCCTTCTCTACTTGGACCTGACCAAGGTGTTAAGTTCAGTAGATGTAAAGCTCGAAAGAAACTGTGATCCCAACCCAACTCCCTGTGTCTGACACCACTGTCACATGGAAAGCTTGGCCTGCAGGATGCGATGCTGGAGGAAGAGCAGGGGTCCCCCGGCGTTGGCTGGGGAGTAGACCTCACCTGCCCTTCCCCACCTGTCCTACCTGAACAAACTCCCTGAACCCATGTCTTCATTTCCAAGAGGAAGTGCCACCAATCTTCCTGCCTCATGGTGTGGCCATGGCCCCCACAGAGCAAGCCAGTGGGCTCTGCAATCTTTGGGGCAAGAGGAGCCAGGCTAACAGGGCTCCCTGACATTGGGAGTGCACATCACTCTGGGCAGTCCATCGTATTTTGATGTTCTGTCCCTCCTATGTGCCTGGATTTAAAAGAATAAGTTTGAAGCATACTGGAAATACTTGAAATGTGTGCTAGGCAACCTGGAGAAGTAGGTAGGAGCCAGATTTTGAACCCAACTACCCTGATGCCGGAGGCAGACCCAGCTGTGCCCAGGGAGTGACATGGCCTTTGTGGGCCCAGTCTCTTGTTCTGAAAGATGGAGCTGGTATTCATGTCTACCACATAGAATTGTAGGATAGTGAGTTAATGTCACCACGCGCTAAGAACGGTGTCTGATGTGTAATAAGTGCCTTCTAAGGGTGTGTGAATAAATAAAAGATGACTGTGTGTCTCTCTCTCTGGGTCCAAGTGATTTTTACCTACAATCACGGTGAGACTGAGACCAGCATCCCTGGAGAATCCCCCTCCACACACACCACCCCATCCTCTCCAGGCCCGGCATCCCTCATTCCCTCAGCATTATGATGCTTAACTAGACACATCCTGTCAGCTCAGGCATAAAAGGCTGCCCATGGCATTAAGGAAGGGAAAATAAATGGTTCTTTTCTGTCTCTCTCTGAAGTCCTGGTGTCCCCAGGGGATGAAACACTGAAGTATTTCACAATAGTATTTCACTGAAGTATTTCACATGACTCAGAAAGATAAAAACAAACACTACTCATGTGTCCAAAAGCTGGGGGGGGGGGGTGGGGGATCCACTTCCGAAGGAGAGAAGATCTTCCTTCCAGGGACAAGGCTTCAGAGCTGCTGTCATCATGCCACCCACCCACCAGAAGGACCTAAACTCCCTTTACCCTGTGCTTGCCACTCCCTCTCCTCATCAGCCTCAGATCACCCATCTTCTGAATTCCTGAAGGGCTGCATAAACAGTGGTCAACCTCAGCTCTCAAAACCCAGATTACTCTCCCTCATTTCTGGTGAACGTTCTGTACAGGGAAGCACCTGCACAACACAGTGGCAGTTGCAAGAGTGGACAGGACACAGAGAGCCCAGGTGGGGGGGGGGCACACAGAAATAAATGAGAGGTTAATGATCAGAGAATAGATAAATAACACTTCTAGGTATGATAGAGGAAAGTAGGGCCTCCCTGAGAGAGTGCCCAATAGATGACAGGTCATCAGAGTAGGGAAT